CTTGGAGTTGTGATTGATGATCAGCTGACTTTCTCAGACCACATTGCTAAAACTGCCCGGTCCTGCAGATTTGCTTTATACAACATTAGGAAGATCAGACCCTTTCTTTCAGAACATGCAACACAACTCCTTGTTCAAGCTCTTGTTCTATCCAGGCTGGACTATTGCAATGCTCTCTTGGCAGGTCTTCCAGCCACTTCTATCAAACCTCTACAATTAATCTAGAACGTGGCAGAAAGATAAATTTTTAACGAGCCAAAAAGAATGCATGTCAGTTTGCACTGGCTACCAGTAGCTGCTCGCATTAAATTCAAGACATTAATGTTTGCCTACAAAACCAGCACTGGCTCTGCACCCATTTACCTAAATCCATTACTTCAGAGTTATGTGCCTCTAGAAGCTTGCGTTCTGCAAGTGAACATCGCTTTATTGTTCATCCCAAAGAGGCACAAAATCACTTTCACAGACTTTTACATTAACTGTTCCCTCCTTTTTGTATTCTATCTATTTGTTTTCTTTTTATTTATTATACAATTAACAAAAGCAAAAAAGACCTCTAACACTAGCTTGCTCTATTCTTTATCTATTCTATCTGTTTTATTTTAATTTATTATATGATTTAAAAAATAATAATTATACGTGTACTGCGTTAAGCTAACTGAGACTTGTTATAGCACTTGTGTTATCATTGCTCTTTTGTTGATTTTAATTGCTTCCATTGTCCTCATTTGTAAGTCACTTTGGATAAAAGCGTCTGCTAAATGTCTAAATGTAAATGGATAAAATATAAATACACAAAAAAAATAATGTCTCAAACTGGCTCAGATTTGTCTGCAATCAAAAGTCTTGAGATCCTATGCTCCGCATTCATTTTATAGCTGCATACTTTTACTGGATTATGACTAGTGACCCATTTGTGTCTGTTTTATTCCTCCTGAGGGATTTAGGAGAAACATCTGCGATCTAGCAGACAGTTTCACCAGTTCCTGTGCGATATGGCGGCGTGACACCCTTCCTCCACTCGTCTGAGTCTCTTTTGTGATGCATTAAACACACACACTGAATGGCCGTCGTTCACACGCCCGCAGGACGCTGGGGCTTCATGAATGATGTTTGTGAAACTCCAGGAGCATTCAGCTGAACAGGTTTGATTTGCAAATCATTTGTGTGCGACTCTCTGATCCAGAAACACGGGTGAAAGGGGGAAATGCAACACGCAAATCACATCAAGCTCATTCACAAACACACACCCAAATCCCCAGCAGTCCAGATCACCACTAAATACACAAAGATACATCAATAAAACAATCCTAGAAAATCTGCGATGCTGTTCATTTACTTGTGTATTTACATTATTGTTCAATCTCTCGTTCCCTATTTGTTTTTTTTCTTGCAGTTTTGGTTTGCTTAACTAAATGCTTTTTCATTGAGAACAGAAAATGGATACAAAGTAGCATCATTTGTGATGTACGGGTGTCTTACAGTCAATTATTTTTCCTAAAATGTAAGTATTTGTCTTTGTTCTGCACTTTCTGCTGTGGTGCTTCCCCTCTTTCATTATATTTAAGGAAGTGACATCATGAAAGTTTTTTTTTTTACCACATGCCAAACCAAAGTGAGTTTCTCTCACAGCTTTGTTTTAGCAGTATTTCATGACGTTTAATTGTTTAATGATATCATCGAGCTTAATAGTTCGATTCTTATGTTTAAAAAAAAAGTTTTGTTTTTTTAGCGAAAACTTGTAGTTAAGACCATTATGAAAATTTTGCTCTGATTTTCTACCCCAAAAACAGTAAAATTGTGAAATATTATTATAATCTAAAACAGCTGTTTTCTGTGTGAATAAAGGACAAATTCAGTTCATTTTTTCATAAAGCAGCATGATTTAAACCTCGTCAGTTACACCTTTGATGCCTTAAACATGTTGTGTAGTTAGGCAGCTCACAGTTAATGAGGGCAGTGGCTGCTGATAAGCGTAACTGAACACCCATCTGAAGCCTGTCAGTGTGTGTAGGAGAAAAACAAGCCCAGATAACACCAGCATGCCCACCGAACGCCAACCAGACGCTGCTCGTGGGAGACTTCAAGAAGAGATCGGAGATGTGAAACTTCATTACAACACCATAATGACATCAGACCAGAGACGAACATTTCATTCATAAAAGGTTTATTGTAATAAAAATCGACTGTACAGCTCTATATCTGCACAAATGCATTTAAAAAATGTACATTAAAAGCAACCCTGCTTCAAAATAGCTTACAAACTACATCTAAACCAGTAAATGAGCTGCTCAGCAGCCCGCGGGATGCTACAGACGAGAGTCTCTGCTGGCACTCCCGCCCGAAACCAACCAACACACACAAAGCATTCTGGGAAAATACCATCACTTCCACTAGAGACGCCAGCGGTGGAGCCTCCGGTCCGTGCGACTCATTTCATGACATTCACCAGAGGAAGTTACAGAGCGTATTGCCTGAATATTGCACAGTAAGACTTAAAGAGCCAGGCAGTGACGTGTATTAAGGGAGTGGTGGCGCTGTGGTTAAGGCAGAGGGCATTATGGGAGTTTGTTCACGTGGCGTCCCTCTTGTTAGCAGCTCCTGGAGAAATTATGAAGCACCACCACAGTTTTAGGCCTGAACGCAAATATGTTGCATTCTCAAAGTCACCACAGGTGGCGCTATAGCAAGCAAAACGCAAACATGTTTAATTATTATCATCATGATTGAGGTTTGCAAACGTACAGAAATCTGAAGTCAAGTGGCTAAAAGGTTTGCGCAAAGCCCGTTTCAGGCCCTTAATTGCTTTACATTTTCGTGAGGTATCATCGTAATTGCACTGAAACCGTGTGCGAGCACCAGTGAAAACACCCAAAACCTGTTTTGGGATTGTAAAAATAAACAAGAGCCACACGGAACAGTGCCAAAATATCATCCGGTCGCGCAACAACCAGTGCTTTAAAGTTAATCTGAGATAAAGGCCTGAAATGTGAAGTCACAGGAACGGTAAACTCTCGGCGGTTGGTCGGTCAGGCGCGGTACTAGTCTGCGTTCAGCTGGACACCATCATCAGGTAGTTTTTGGGTGGACTTGTGCGGCCGCTCATCATGAAGCGGTTTTTGCAGTTCGCCGTCTGGTCGTACGCCGAGGGGGCGGGGCTTGAGACGGGCGGCTCGGCCTCGTAGAGTACGCAAATGGAGCCGTCCTCGCCGATGCGGTACGACACTTCGTACGGGTCGACCCAGAGCGTCAGCTCCCGCGGCAAGAGCGAGAAAAGCTGCCCGCTGGTCAGTCCGATTCGACCGGCCGCTCGGCCAATCAGAGGGTCCATTTCGTGATTGATCCGAATGCAGCGGTAACCGGATCCCTTCTGCGGCCTGTCGGGGAACCAGTGGTGCTGGTAGTGTTCTGCAGAAAAATAAACACTTTCGTTAGCATCCAAATCTTTTAGCATAGTATATGATCACTGAATCAATATGGAAGTACGTTAAAGTTAAACATGAACTAGAAAAATTTTATTTCAGTACCTGATAGCGCCTGCGCGAGACAGTCTCTAAAAACGTGTAGCTGCGCGTCACTCAAGCGTCCGCGACTGCGCAATAGTCTGCAAACAAAACTCGCGGCGGCTGAAACCTCCGGGGCCGTCTCTGCTCCGGTGCCGTGCATCTCTGTATTCCGTTCTACAGAGTTAAGAATAAATCTGCTGGAAGTGAAAAACCACAAGAGCTGCTGTCCTTTGATGCTGGTGAATCAGTGCAGCAAGTTTAATGAGGATGAAGCAATCAACCTTCCCCGATCCAGTCGGTTCCGTTTCGCTGCGCTCCGATCTGTCGCAGAGAGCAGCGACTCCGCCGATAAATACTCACAAAGCCGTCGACGTCAGTCGCGCTGGTCTGAGCGACACGCCCACCGTCCAATGAAACCAGGGGGCGGGTCTTCCTCGCGCAACCGATTGGTTGTCAGGATGGAAAACACTGCGTGTTGTGGTGACGCTCGCCTTCCGTCCGCGTCCAAATATGGAGAGTGACGTCAAACGCCGCTCGGGTATGCGTGACGACATTCGGGGGAATAACAAAGATGCTTACCGTAAAGCCTCGGCGTTTAATTATAGAAGCGTGCGGCGTTCGGAGCTGGTTTTCCTCTCTTTTATCGTCTGTCAAGCGTAGGTGACACCCCAGCAGAAACTTACACACGACCTAAAAAGAATCAAGCCCTAATCCAACACAACGTAACAGACAAAAAGTTTCATAGTCCTGTAGTAATATGCATGAAATCATTAGTATGCATTTCGCTGTATGAATGACATTACACGATGCTTTCAGCGTATCAAGATATTTATAATTAAAAAACATGATGAATTGAGTTGAACCTGTATTTTGAGGTGCCGCAGCGACACCTGGTGGCCAAGCGCGTCACGACAAACACAGATGTTGAAACGCGCGTTAATTAATCGAACGTAAACATTCTTTCGTTTTACACGTGCCACATCTTTAACTGTGTAAATGTCTCGGTCTGACCCGCAGAGCATCTGCCACTGTGCCATCCCTGGATCTGTTACCATGGCGACCGCTCGCATCCTTCGCCTCTTCCAGCAGCTTTTATTTCTGATACAACACAAACCAGTCACAATAATCCTTTGCTGCACATTAATATTTCAGTGTTTTATGTTATATATATATATACACACACACACTACATATTATATACTTTATCTAAATGTACTACACTGTAGTTTCAGTTGGTGTGCACACAGATGGCAGGTTCTGCTGTTGTGTGTGTGTTTGTCATGTGGACTGACAGCAGGTTTGTCTATATTTGGCTGTAGCGTGTGTGTGTGTGTGTGTGTGTTGCAGGAGTTGACTTGGTTCATGTGAAGGGCTCTCACCATGGCAACACATGTGTCTTCCTGAGCGCCGGCTGAGACACGATTCATTGTTTATATGAATGTGTCCTAATGAAAGATGCACGTAACACACACTCGTGTCTCTGGTTTCGGGGTCTGGTGACCCGTGTGACCCGCGGTGCTCCTGCGTGCCGTGTGTCCTCTAAGACAGGAGTGAGACGTCGCCATCTGGAGGTGAGCTGGGGCATTATGGGTAATCCCACAGGAGTGGTGTGTGTCCTCCTGCAAACTCACACACACACACACACAGACACCGCCTGCAGTGCAACTGCTGTCTCCTCTGATCTGAGCTGACACGTCCCTCCAGCAGTGTGTGTGTGTGAGGGAGGGTGTGTGTGTGTGTGTGAGAGAGTGTTTGAGTGTGTGTGAGAGAGAGAGAGAGAGAGTGTGTGTGTGTGTGTGCATGTTTATGTGGTTTATGAGGACACAGCTCATTCCATCTCAACACTAACTGGTGGTTTGATCTACAGCATCTTGCACCACCTTCCTGAAGCTCTTTAAACACAATCTACACAACGATCAGCACAATATTTCAGCTGTTCTCCTAGATAAGACCGCCGGTGTGTCTCCTGCTTCCCAGATGTCTCTCCTGAGAAAAAGACCCCAATAATCTGATGTTCAACTTCAGAATTTCAGAAAGCATTCTTAAGTCTCAAACTGTGCTCAGATTCCGAATCCTCAATCTGAACTCAGACATTTCTCATCAAATTCTCCAGAGAGCAAGTGAGCTGAGATTTAAGTTTTTTATTTGTTGTCATCTTTTCTTTAAGGAGAAACATCTGAGACAAAGTGGATCCTGAGAACTCAGCGAGGTTTCTTGAGATTTAAAAGTACAACACATTATTCCTGTGTTTATATAGAACAACTAACCAACCCGACCTCGAATGCTGTATTTGCGTTACAGGTTTTCCTCCAGCGCGAGTGCTTGTGCTCTGACTTGATTCTTTCACATCCTTTTGTCTCCATCTCTCCCATAATCCTCCTCCGAGCCGCTCGCAGAGCCCTGACTTTAAGGACACTGAGTTTATTTATTCATGCATCTCTTCTGGTTTACTGGAACTTCTGATGGCTTGACACAGATTTGCACTTTCCTCGCTGCATGTGTTGCCCGCAGGAGAGACGCATGCATGTTCCTGACGGCTGTCAGCTCCACTCACGTCCCGAATCTCCCACCAGTGAGTTTAGCAGGGCAACTCGGCCTCAAAATCTTTAAAAACCCAACGAAAACACTCTGGCATGGTGCAGAGAGGTCTCTTTAGTATCTCAGTTGTTTCTCCTAGGCTTTCTCCTGACGTCTCCAGCTTCTACTGAGAAAAACACTCCTGTAATCTCATGTGTTGTGTCTTCTAAAGCTATAGAAGAGCTCTGAGCACAGTTTGAGAAAGTCTGAGATCTCAAAATTGACTCCCAAGAATATGAATCTGCTATTTACATTTTCATTTCTCTCAAGGTATTTCAGGAGAAACATCTGAGATTTAGTTCATACATAAATGCAACCAAAGTGAGATCTCCATTAAGTTATAAAAGAGCCACATCTGAGCCAGAAATACACCAGCATAGGTCATTTGTTTAGTTATTGTCTTTAAACAGATATTTGTTCTTGTTTCGTTGCTATTTCATTTCGTTTAAGTATCAGTCCTTTGAAAATATCAAGAATCCTAACATTGCTATATATTTGCTAGTGTTGTGGGTGGATGCTATGCAGTTTCTTTTCATGTTTATTTTGTGTGATTTCTTTGGTGTAGCAGGTGAAAATGGTGCACCTGATCACTTAGTACCAGCACAGCTCTTGATTTAGGGACGACGCACACACTCAACTTTAACACTTTAATACTAGGACTAGTGATGAGTGCGCAGATATTTGTTCTTGTTTAGTTGCTATTTCATAAGTCTCATTTAAGTATCAGTCCTTTGAAAATATCAAGAATCCTAACATTGCTATATATTTGCTAGTGTTGTGGGTGGATGCTATGCAGTTTCTTTTCATGTTTATTTTGTGTGATTTCTTTGGTGTAGCAGGTGAAAATGGTGCACCTGATCACTTAGTACCAGCACAGCTCTTGATTTAGGGACGACGCACACACTCAACTTTAATACTTTAATACTAGGACTAGTGATGAGTGCGTTAATTAATTCCCCTCATTAATTAAGTGCATATTTATGTCTTCACAGCTCCGACTGAACGGCGGAGACCCAGTCCACGAGCGTTTGATGAGGGCTCAACCACGCCAGCCAATCAGCTCTCGCTTTCTGCCAACAGACATGGCTGCCTGGCCAATCACAGCGGGGACGTGGCAGAGGTGGGCAGGGCCTGAGTGCTGGAGTGTCTGTGTTCTGGAGCAAATGCTCAGAGAGAGAGAGAAAGGAGAGACAACGCTCCGTCTGTGTGTCTGATTCTGCTGCGCGTCTCTCTCTCTCACTGCAGCTCTGTGTGTGTGTGTGTGTGTGTGTGTTCATGTATGCCGGCAACGGCTGCATCGCTCCTTCATCCCCTTCATCTTCATCAGTGAATTCACAGCATCAGCGCACGATCCTGCTCATCTGTTGCCGTGGTGATGGGCTGTCGACTGTCAGGGCCGTGGATGGGCGACGGGATGGGGGTGAGTCCAGTGTGTGTGTAATTGTGTGTAAATGCTCACGAGTGTGTGTGCTGATGGTGATCAGGAGTGACATTGATGCTGATACACCACATCTTATTTCACACACACACACACACACACACACACACACACATACACATGTGCCGTCTCTCTCCTGTGACTCATGCAGTGATGTGTGTTGGTATGAAGATGCAGCATTATTTTCATCATGAGTATAACGTGTGTGTGTGTGTGTGTGTGTGTGAGCCTGAGGTTCAGCTCAGTCCCGGACGGATCGGGTCTGCAGGCAGGGAAATAGCTTTACACAGCTGCGCTTCACTATAGTAGTGTGTGCGTAAGATAAACCGAATCAGGTGAAATAGAGCGTACGCCAAACGGCTGAACGCACGAGATCCGCGTAAACGAGGACTCAAATTAATCACAAGCTTTCCGGTCACTGCGTTTGTCTGTCGATTGTCCTGTCGTTCAGGTTCACGGTCAGGACCTGACCCACCTGCAGAAGCGAGAGGCCTTCCGTATCCTGGCCAGCTACGAGCAGCCAATCACGCTTCAGATTGAGGGCCGGGGGCGGAGCCTGCAGTACAACAGGACGACGGACTGCAGCACGCAGACGGAGCGACCGTGGG